GGTGCTGAGGGGGCGGGAGAAGGTGGAGGGGGAAGGTGGAGGGGGTTCTCGTGCTCGGTGAGCTCAGGCTCTCGGGCTCAGGCTGAGCAGGACAGACCTGTTGTGCTCAATGAGGAGGCGCAGGGTTTGTGGGTTGGTGAGGATGGCATCGGCGTCCAGGCTGAAGTAGAATTCGCACTCGGGGTCCTGCCGGCAGTGGTCCCTGGGGAGCGATAAGACCCCACCCCCAGAGGTGGTGTGAGCCAAAGTGGGTGCCAAAGGGTGAGAGGAAGGGACAGCTGGACAGGTGGGACCCCTCCCCCCACCAAGGAACAGAGCAGGCACGGCCTCATGGTTCTGCCCTGGTGTGGGGTGGGGGCGCCGCTCACATGGCCATGTCCCTGGCTTCCCCGGGGCCCAGCGCCTCCTCCGGCCCCACCAGCTTCGCGGCTGAGAAGTGGTCTTGGAGCTGTGGCCAGGCGTCGGCGACATGCGGTTCATGGTACACCTCCTGATGCGGAGAGGGGAAGTGAGGGTGCGAGGTGGGTGAGGGGTGCAGGGGGTCCCCCGGAGGCCGCGGCATCTTACTGCGTTGTGTAGGAAGAGCGCCACACGGTCGGGGGGGTAGTCCAGATGCAACAGGCGCTGCAGGAAGCGCGGCAGGAACGGGGTCGGCTGCTCCACAAACACGGCCAGGAGCACCCGGGGCGCAGGCTGTGGAGCACAACAAGGGAGGGGCTCAGGGGTCCCTGCACGCTGCCTGGCCCCACCTGGCAAGCTCTTATGTCAGCTCCCACAGCCCACCGCGCCTGCCTCACCTGGCTTCCCTTGAGAGTCCTCCGATGCTGGTTACAGAAGCCACAGCCCCCCTGGGGCGTCCAGCCATTGGGGACGTAGTTGCCCAGATAGTTCAGCTGCAGCTGCAGGGGAAGCGGTGGTGAGCCAAGGCCCAGCTGTCCACAGACACCCAGCAGCAGGGAAGAGGAGGCCGGGGACAGCCAGGGCTCAGGACTGGCAGAGGCAGAGGCCAGAGATGGGGCACCTTTGTGGGGCCGTTTCCATGGACCACAACAGGAAGCGTATCGTAGGCCACGTTCCGGATCCTTACACGATTCCGATCAAATTTTAAGACCACCTCATCTGGGGAAAGAAATGGGGGGGGGTGTTTAGACTCCTTTTCTCTGGAAGAAAGCAACAGGATCTTCTAACTATGGGGTGTCACTGGCTGCTGGTGGCTCATGCCTGTAATCCCAGCTATTCAGGAGGCTGAGATCTGAGGATCACAGGTTGAAGCCAGCCTGGGCAGGAAAGCCTGTGAAACTCTTATCTCCAACTAGTCACCAAAAAGTAGGAAGTGGAGCTGTGGCTCAAGTGGCAGAGCAATAACCCTGCACAAAAAAGCTAAGGGAGAGTGCCACAGCACCTGAGCCCTAAGTCCAAGCCTCAGTACTGGCAGTGTATGCACACATGTATGCATACACACACACACACAACATGGGGTGATTTCTAATGACTGTGGCTCAGATGGAGCTGGTGCTCTTCTGTAGGTCTGGGCAGGCTGCTGCCACCTTAGAGAGCTCCACCATCTGCAATGACCTGGGATGGGCTGTAGCTGCCTCCCCTCCCCAAGCATCCATTCAGGATGGACAGCCAGAGACCCTCCCCCAGGGGGGGCCTTCCCTCGTGGGATCCTGTGCTATACAGGGTGTGACCAAGGACCTAAAGCTCTAGGTTGGGTAACTGAGCACATGGCATGTTCCCGACAGATGTTTTCACTGCAGCATGATGGCGACTTCAGGAGAGGTGTACACGGGTTTGAATAGAAAGGTGAGATGTACACAAGTATAAATACACAAGTGACGGAATACACAGATGTGAACACACAGGTGAGGTATACAGAGGTATGAACACATAGATGAGGTGTGCACAGGTGTGAACACACGATAGGGTACACACAGGTATGAATACACAGATGATTGAGTACATGGGTGTGAACACAAATGAGGTGTGCACAGGTGTGAATATGCAGGTGAGGCGTACACTCGGTGTGAACACACAGTTGAGGTGTACATTGGCAAAATATACAGGCGATGAACACAGGTGTGAACACACAGGTGAGGGACACAGATGTCAATATATAGGCGAGATATACACAGGTACGTACATACACGTACAGACGAGGCAGACAGATGGGAACACAAAGGTGAAGGGAACAGGTGTGCGTACGCAGATGTATACACGCAGGCCAGGTGGATACCAGCTGAGTCCCACCAGGAGCTCTGGCCAGAAGCAGGGCCCTTTGCTTCCCAGCCCCAGCGCCTCCTCCTTACCTAAAGCCCCATTGAGGTTCTGGAAGATCCGGGATTTATGGTCCAGATTAAGGCTGAGTTTCTCCTGGATGGGGTAAGATGGGACGGTTAACCACAGAGCGCAGGGCGCCCTGCTCCTCATGCTTTACATTTTCCCAATCCTCTCATCCTCTTCTCTTTTTTGGAGGGGGCTGGTACCAGGGCTTGAACTCAAGTCCTCTCACGCTCCCTTGGCTTTTTCTGTTCAACACTCGTGCTCTACCACTATCACCATTTTCACCTTTTTGCTGGCTAACTAGAAATGAAGAGTCTCACAGATTTTTCCACATAGGCTGGTATCTAACTGAAATCCTCCTAACTAGCCTCCTAACTAGCTAGGATTATGGGCATGAACCATCAGCGTCCAGCCTGACCCCTCCTAAACCTTCTTTCCCATTCAGCCCGAGCCCCCCTCCTCCCCTTGCAGGGACAATCCTCCCCAATCCTCCCTACCCGCAGCCCTGGGTCCAGGTAGAGCCGAGTATAGAACAATTGGTCATCATCATCATCCTTGTATTTCCACTGACGGACAATTTGGTGGATGGTGGGGGCAAAACCGATGAAGCCTGGTAGGTGGAAGAGGAGTTGACCCCAAACCTCCCAGGGTCCCCAGGACCTGACCCAGCCTCAGGCACCTAGAGGACCCCACATCCCACCCACAACTCTGGGCCCCTTCCTCAGCCTCGGGCTCCCTGTCACTCACCACCAGAGTTGAGAAAGCGCTTGCCGGAGCCCACCTCGGGGTACTGCTCCGCCAGGCCCCACTCGGGCCAGCAGAAGGCCTCTGCGGAGAAGAGCAGGCGGCTGCCAGTCTGGATAAACTTCTTCAGCAGCTCTGAGGGGCTGCCCGCCAGAAGAACATCATAGCTGGTAAAGGAAAGGGAGGATGAGCAGGAGGCTGCTAGGGACCACAGCACCCTCCTCCCTGCTTTCTTCACTCCTCTCCCCTCCCCACCCCACCCCCTCAGCCCTTCCTGACCTGTCCACAAACATGATGACCATGTCCTCTCTTTCTGCATACTTCTCCATTTCCTTCTTTAGCCACCTGACCTTCTGGCCTCCACCAACTGTCCGAGCCACATCGCCCCCTCGCCACTCCTGTCCCAGGCCCAGGGTCTGTGGGAGAGACCGGCCATGCCAGGAGGGGGTTCAGGCACAGACAGCACTGAGGAGATTTAGTATGAGGACCCCTGCACACAGCCTCCAGCCCCCTCCCCGGCACCCTGACTCACTCGCACAGTGTAGTTGAAAAACTTTGCAGACTGCAGGAAGCGTAAATATCCCTCTGTTTCTGCTGTGGCCACGGTGATCACCAACAGCTTCTCTGCCATCAGTCAGGAACAAATACCTGAGGCCCACCTGCCCACGGCTCCCCACGTTCCCCTAATTCCATGCTGTCCTTTTCTTTCTGCTTTCCAACCTCCCCAGTTCCCCTAGGGCCCCCCCCCTTTGTTTCTTGAGCTTGAACTCAGGTCCTAGGCACTGCTCCTTAGTATTTTATGCCCAAGCCTTGTGATCTACCACCTGAACCACAACTCCACTTCTGGCCTTTTGGTAAATAATTGGAGCTAAGAGTCTCATGGCCTTTCCTGGCTGGCTTTGAACAGTGATCCTCGGATCTCAGCCTCCGGATAGTTAGGATAACCATTCCCTCTTAAATCTTCCCGCCCTGGGGCGAGGAGCGTCGGGAGCCCTCGGGCGGGGGGGGCGGGGGTTGGTTGGTCCTCCCAGCACTCCAGACCGGTAGGAGAGGCCTGAACCTCGGGCTCTTACCTGGGTTGACCACGTTCCCGCCCCGGGGCCGGTCCCGGTCGGAGGCTGAGGCCCGGGCTGTGGGGGGCGGCGGCAGCAGCAGCAGCGGCAGCAGCATGAGGAGGAGGAGCCGGGGTCGCAGGCCGCACGCGGCCATGGTGGGCAGCGGGCCGGGGGCTGAGCGCAGGATCACGCGGGGCTGGAATCCGACTGCTGGGAAGGTTCTAGAAGCGGGATCCGGGCCGCCCAGCGGGGCAGGCCCGGGGCTCCGCCCTGGAAAAAAGGCGTAGCCTGAGGCCACGGAGAACCCGAGATGCAGGCGGCGAGACAAGGCAAGGATTGTCCCGAGGCGCGGAGGGGCCGGGGCTGGGGCCGGGGAGGGGCCGGGGATCCGCGGCTCGCGGGCCGCTTTGCACCGTGGACACGAGGCCGCAGCCGGAGATGGGAAGTGAGGCCGGGG